ATCAGGGCTCTGGACCGCCTGCAGGAAGTTCCACACGAGGTAATAGGAAAGGAAATGCTTCAGAAATGTAAATATCTGCTGGTGGAAAATGAAGATGTTTTCTCACACTGCAGTCCATTTAAACACGTGGGTGCACATGAGTTATGGCCTTTCCAGGAGCTAGAGCAGATGAACATTTGGGCAAAACACAGCTAAGTCGGTGTGCTTTGATTACAGCAGCCTACATAAGGAGAGCTGTGGGTGTTCCACATTTGTTTTCTCCAGAATCGTGGGATTTTTGGGTTTTCAGTCTGACTCAAAGAGCAGGATTTGGCAGGGGAGGGTGTTTACTATCTTCAGCCTCATCACAGATGTGATTGTGAACTGACAACCACCATGAGAAGCCACAATGTGTCACCATCCTTCCTCCCCAGCCAGCCCAGCCTCCTGGGGTGTTTCACTTTGTTATAGCTTCCCGGGGTCTGCAATCTGGGCTGTAAAACCAGGCTTGGAGCTCCCGGGGCAGCTGGAAGTTGTGTTGGGAGTGCTTGGGGCTCGCAGATGTGTGTTCAGTAAACTCCTGGCGTGCCTCACACCGAGAAGGACGTGCTGGCAGTCCTGCTGCTGTCAATAAAATGTGTTTAAGCACCTTGCCAGTGATCTAACAAAGAACTCCTCGTGTTTCCCAAGGGTCCGATGTGTGATCTGTTGTGGTCGGATCCCGATGACCGCGGCGGCTGGGGCATTTCTCCACGTGGTGCTGGCTACACCTTTGGGCAGGATATTTCGGAAACCTTTAACCACGCCAATGGTCTCACACTGGTCTCCCGCGCTCACCAGCTGGTCATGGAGGTAGGGCAAGCACTCTGCTAGCCAGGGCTAACAAAACAGGGGCCCATGGGAGTCACTCACGGGTTTGTTGACACCTAAATCTTACGCAGGTCAGTACCAAAGAGAAGCTTTAGTCACGGGAAAAGAGCAACGTAAAATTAGGTGCTTTGACCTGCAGCCCAAAGAAGGGGATGTTCTGCTCTGTCCAAGCCAATTTTCCCCTCCAAGTAAATTGCCAAAGGGGCTGTGCCACACCTTGTTTGTGGCAGGAATAATCTTCTTACACCGTGGCTTGCTGTTGCTCTGACTGCTGCTACATCCGACAGCCTGTCCCACAGTGCTCGGCAGTCAGATGTGACGGGGATTAGGCTGGTTTTGGCTGTCACAGGCTATTCTTGGATGTCTTGCTGGAAAAATGCCAGGTGGGTTAATGGAGCAGATGCACTTTTAAAATCTAGTGCAGGTAGATCCCTGAAGCAGAACCGTGTGTCAGAAGTCACTGGGGTCCAGCAGGCAAATTGTCACTTGTGGTGGATGAAAGCTGAAGGCATCCCAAAAAATCCCAAGACTTTTTAATGCTACAATCCATAATTTACAAGTGATGATCTCCTGTAAGCTGCTTGAAGCTTGTTTTGCCGGGTACCTGCTGCTGCTTCTTGTGGTAAAGCACGTATTTTGAAATGAAACTAAGTCAGTTGGACATACCTCAAGAAATCTCCAGTTTCACAAGTGCCTCGGAGAGTTTCAGGCCTGAAGAGGAACTTTGGACAGGCTGGGGTGTAACAGAGACCCTTTTCTTTTTCTCTCTCTCCCTGGCAGGGTTATAACTGGTGCCACGACCGGAACGTGGTGACCATCTTCAGTGCCCCCAATTACTGCTACCGCTGCGGGAACCAGGCTGCTATCATGGAACTAGATGACACTTTAAAATATTCCTTGTGAGTATCCTGCCCTGGGCTGGGCTCTCTTTCTGACCACTCTGTGAGGAGTGGCTGATCATTCCCAAAGGGCTTCTTCCGTGACAAGCCAGCTCAGACCACTCTGGAATTAACATGTGTTCTGCCTTAAAATCAGAGATGAGTTAAGCTCCTAAAAGCTCCTCTTCCTGGCTCTCTGGAGAGTTGGAGCTTTTGCACTTCCATCTCTTTACTGCCTAAGCTTGATGGAGAGTGAAAACACATGGATTTATGTATTTGTTTTTGTCCTTGGTAGCACTGAGCTTTGTAAAATGGGGGAGAGGGTCTGAATTGTGCTTTCAGCACCGTGAGAAAGCGGTCACGGGCTGCTGGGTCACTGATGGTTTTTTACTCCCATGAATTCTTGTTTTGGGGCTTGGAATGCTTTATGTGGAAGCAGCTGGGGTGAGTAGAGCACTAGCAGCAGGAGAGCAAGTCTGCTACTTCTCATGGCACTGGAAAATGCCTTGTGGAGGAGGAGGGTAAGTGATCACCCCTTTTTCTTTTCTGCAGCCTCCAGTTTGACCCAGCACCTCGTCGTGGAGAGCCTCATGTTACCCGTCGCACCCCAGACTACTTCCTATAAACCTCTCCCAACCTTTGTAGAAGGAAGTACACCTGGCATTTTAAAAGAGCAACAATATTTACACGTTTCTGTAAGAAATCAGGGTTCGTCTCAACTCAAATCCCCATCATGGACCAAAATGTGCCATACAGAGGACGAAGAGCATTTAGCACAACTTGAGACTGAATTCCTTCCGACACTCTCTCTCTCCCATGCCCATCAGCCCGAAAGTCAGTTTGCCTGCTGTATTTGTAGTCATTGTTTTCCTTCTGGACTGTTCAGAGAGGAAAAGGTAACTCTTTAACAACACTTCATCTCCTCTGACGCTTCTTTGTACATTTTTAGTTCTAGTGTTTAACTGGCATGAGCTAGAGTTTGTTTTCAAGGGAAGTGCACACTAACTTCATCCCCCACCACTCTTTATTTTATTGGAAAGACCGCTCGACTTAACTGGAGAAAGGAAGTGATTCCTGCTTGGGAGTACGTTGTCATAACCCAGATAAAAGCGTTCCCTTTTTAGCTCTATTCCCATTCTGTGCTGCTCCTGCCCCTTATTTTTT